GGTCCTTGGTGCGAGGCTGCTAGCGAGCTATATCCACCCTGAAGGTTAATCTTGGACAATATCTGATGATCGACTCTTTTAAATGAAACCAGAGAGCGTTGACAGAGAGGACAAGGTAGAAACGACTCAGCCTGGAACTGAAAATATGGATGGAGGACAACAGAGCTGCTTCATGGAAGAAGAACCTCAGCTTAGTTAGCCTTTGTGCTAGCACTGACGCTATATTGCCTTAAATGTATTAGCTCAGCGCTAGTGCGAAAAACAAGCTAAACTGAGAGTCGTTTCTACCTTCTCCTCTCTGTCAACGCTCTCTGGTTTCATTTAAAAGAGTCGATCATCAGATATTGTCCAAGATTAACCTTCAGGGTGGATATAGCTCGCTAGCAGCCTCGCACCAAGGACCTATCCACGTCATGATTTACCCAGAATGCTTTGTGTGTAAATAAAATAGCCCCGTCCGTATAATGTATTTTTAAACTTTTAGTGTAAAAAATATAAAAACTAAACAGCCTACAGTATTTTTACAGTCTTTATTTTACAGTTAAAATATATGTTTATCAAATAAAGTCTAATGATACAACTAATTTGGGATTCCTTTAAGGAACATTGGGCCATTTTAATTGTATTTTGCAGCCACTTGCAGATATTCAAATAAACTGAAGACATTTATCGGGGTTGTTTACTACTGACTTTTAAAAGCACCACACATCTTTATAATCGTTTCTTAGGTGAATAATGATATATTTTTATAAACGATTGTGTTTATTAGTTTTGTGATTGAATTGATGATTTTATGTACAAAACTGGTCTGGGTGGCTGTAAATATATGGTTACACAGGGCAGGAGGAGTAGATTAGATGGATGCCTGAACACACCTTCAACAATTAATTGAACTGTCGTTTTAACACTAGAACAGGAAAAATGAACGAGGACCTGGCTCAAGCCGTTTTGATGGCGCAATGAAAATAGACGGAGTCAGGTCTTGAAGAAGGTGATATGACATTTTTCCGTAAATGCTTTGCTGAATGCACGCAGAGACATTCCAGCCTAGCGCTGTTGTATTGTATAACTCCACATTCAAACATTCAAATACCGGTGTATTTTCTATCTGGTTACGAACACATATTAAGGTAAACGAACACACCTAATTTTCCTATTTTCTTCCAAAACGATTCTAGTTAAAACAGACTTTGTTACTGACACTGTTATCTCTGCTTAGATATCATCGACAACTGCAAACTGGTAACAGAGGAGTGCAGGCAGAAGCTGCTGCAGCTGAAACATAAATATTATCCCATTGAGATTGACCCACACCTTACAATGGAAGAGAAATTTCCTTTTATGGTGGAATGGTAAGGAGCTAAAACATATTTTTCTTCAGCAACAAGTCAATTCTTGAGGTCTAGAGAAGCTTAACTAAGTATTTTATGGATTAGAACAGTTAAAAGATGCATATCTGTGCATCAGCTTGCAAACTTTTTTTTGTTTAATATTGAACTGTGCGACTTTCATAAAAACGAGTTTGTTTCCAGGTACTTTAAGTCTCACTCGCTACTTGTGGAGCAGCGTCTTGAGAAAGACAAACTGCCAGAGGTGGTGAGGGAGTCTGATGTTGCACTCAGGTATCTGCAGAAGATGAGATGAAGTGAATGTTTGAAACTCTTAAAGTGTTTACTCCAGCAAAGAGAAGGATAAATGAGTTTTGTGTGTTTGGTCGCAGAGAGGGTTACGAGCAGTTCTTCGATTGCCTGCATCAGCACAACGTGCCTGTCTTCATCTTCTCTGCTGGTCTTGGAGATGTCCTTGAGGAAATCATGCGCCAGTCTGCAGTTTATCACCCCAACATCAAGGTTGTTTCCAACTTCATGGACTTTGATGACAATGTAAGTCGTTCACGGAAGAGAATCTCTCCTGGTTGGTGCTCGTTTACTTTTCTACCTCACGGCAAAGAAGCACACGAGCTGACCTTACATCGTTTTGGTTCTTCGTTTAGGGCGTCCTGAAGGGATTCAAGGGTGAGCTGATCCACGTGTACAACAAACACGACGGTGCCCTGCGAAACACAGAGTACTTCAAACAGCTGAGGGATAACAGCAACATCATTCTGCTGGGCGACTCCATGGGAGACCTCAGCATGGCCGATGGTGTCCCTAATGTAGAGAACCTCCTCAAGATCGGATTTCTCAACGACAAGGTACAGAATCCAATGGGCCTGATTTTCTGCATCATTTTGGAACAAGATGTTTCTGATTTTATTAATATTACATAGTTTGAAGAAAGCACTCATGGTAACATTTTTATTGTAGAGTTCAAGGACATTTCCCAGTCGGTAATCAATATGCTTCAAAGCCTCTATAACATGATTTGTTTGTGATCTCTGCAGGTGGAAGAACGCCTGGACAAATATTTGGACTCTTATGACATTGTTCTCGTGAAAGACGAGACTCTGGAAGTGCCCAATGCCATTCTTCAGAAGGTTTTATAACTCCGTGCTTCCGTTCATCACACCAACATCCCATTCAGTTCTCTCTCTCTCTCTCTCTCTCTCTCTCTCTCTCTCTCTCTCTCCTCTCATCATCTTCCCTTCAGTGTTGGGCCAGTCAGACTCTGTTACCAGCATTTCTTTATTTTTTTTCTTTTTAATTTTCTGCCCTCAGTCTGCGGCCCCACTCAGCACTACTGTGTACCGACCTTTTTTAAAAAGACATTTTACTTCACCTGAATGAACTGTTTAAAGGTCCTTCACAGCAGCAATATCTTGTCTCTGACATCTGTTTTCTTTCTAGTCATTTATGATATAACAATTTTGGAGAAAAAGAAAAAAAAACTTTCACTCCATCTTAATAATTTGCACATTATTGTCATCATCATTATTCTTAGAAGCTTTTTTATTTTATTATATATTTGTAGACAATAATCCAGGTGCCCACAAGATAATTGATCTTTTTACAGTTACTAATGCGTAAAATATAAACACTGTTTAGATTAAGTGTATTTCAGCCAACTGGAAGTAGGCATGAATATATTTAGACCACAATGCATCAAAAAATAGAAACACTGAGTATATGCATAAGTAACTGTAATAAAGTCATTACTGTTTTTTGGCTCCATCCCAATGTGCCAGTCACTTCAATAACTTCAATTGTGTTACTGAAGTACTTAATATCCATCTGGTCAATGTTTAAAGTGAGATATTATTATTGGACTCTGTTTATATCTTTAAAGTTTGTAATTTATAAGAATTTATGTCACATAAAGGACCTTTTTAAAAAAGGTATTTACGAGAAAAAGTTTAAATGTCTTGCTCTGTGTCTGCGGCAACATGATTACAACAAACAGAGCTGGTAAAAAAACAATAAAATAACAGGATTAAGGTTGTCATTGTGGAAAATCCACAAAAATCACAACCAAAGAGTAAAAAAAATGCACTTTAAATTCTTTATTATCAGAAAGTTTATTCTGTGCGAAAGCATGTGCGGCTCTAGTTTGGGTTTGTGAATGTAGGAAAAGTAAGTTTCTTGCACAAAAAAAATGCCATGTTTACATAAATTTATTTTTTAACTTTAATGTGCTCATTTGATATCATTTTTACCCAAAAAGGAGTAAAAAGAAGTTATTTATTTTACAAAGATTTAGAAATATTTATGGCAAGATACCACATTTAAATGATAATCTCAGCACACCTCACTTAAAAAAGCATCCCACAAACTTGTGTTAAAGTTAGATATTAATGCTGAAGTTGACATCTAGTGGTTTGTATGGGGAACTACAGCAGTAAAATACAGAATGATGCCTTCAGTTCATCTTGTAAATAAAAATTCCACAATAAATAAAGTATTTCACAGTTTCGGTAAACAGAGGTAAATGCATTGCTGTTTTTTTGGCTCCATAAAACCCAGCATAAAACTTGTTTAAAATGTGTTTTCATATTTTTTTGGGCTGTGGTTAAACTTGAGCACTACCTCTATAAATATATTTTTTGAGAGGTTTAATCTAAAATGTGTCAGTTTCTATCAACATGCTGTGTTGTCATTTTTTTTTTGAATTTGTGTTCTTAATGTGCTGCTATCATCTGCATGTTGCCTTTTCTTTTTGTGAAGTTTATGTCAGAGAAATGGGAGATTCAAGACCCTTTATATATATCAACAAAATGGGAATAATGTCATACTGTATATGGAGTTATATGAAAATGTATTTTGCTTTACATTTGAAGTATTTTCAAAGTTTTGATTGGTTTGTTTTATTTTTATAAGCAGATTGCTTCATTAGATTGTGTGAATACAACATGCAATAATAAAAACAGTTTTGTGACATCATGTGTGCATCACAAACTGGATTGTTACCCAAAAGTCTGTTTTTATCTTATTTAAATGTATACTGACTAAAAATGTGCTTTTAATTTTAGGGTAAACGTAAATAAATTTGAAGCGGTAGTTCTTCAAGTGAACTAAGAAATAACTTATCTGATACGATTGATCATAAAAATTACTAATATATAAAATGGGAAGAAATGGAGTGAGAGGAGCAGCAAATAACTGGACAAAAAGTTATCTTGATAATAGACAGCAATATGTACAAATTGGTCAGTATAAATCTTCATGCCTGAATATCACATGTATTCCACAAGGCTCAGTTCTGGGTCCCAAATTGTTGATAATGTAATGATATATGTAGAGTGACAAAGGTATTACATTTTGTTGTATTTGCAGATGATACAACTATTTTTTGTTTGTTTGATTTAAAACAGCTTTTGGAAGTTGTTGGAAATTAAACTGATCAACTTAAATGTTGGATTGATAGAAATAAATTATCTTTAAATTTAATTAAGACAAAATTTATGTTATTTGTAAATAGAGAAATTAATACAACTGTAAGGATGGAAATGAATAATGTAAAAATTTACCATATGAAACGTGTGTAAAAAGATGTCGAAAACTATAGGGATATTAGGAAGAACTAGTCATATTTTGAACAACAAAACTATGCACACTTACTGGACTATGTTATTGGCATATTTAGAGTATTGTGTTGAAGTCTGGGGTAACATGTAAAAGTTCTTTACAAAAATATGTACACTACAAAAAAGAGCAATGGTATCGAGAACATACAAATCCACTATTTTTTTTAAAACCACATCTTATGAGATTTATGGATTTGGTACAATTTAAAACCACAGGTGATGTTCAAAACTAGAAACAATAATGCCTCCAAATAATATTCAAAGTTTATTTAAAATCAGAGGGAAGGTATGAACTGAGAGGGAAGGGTAATTTATTGCAACCATGTGTAAGCAGCACTCTTAAAAATATGTGCATATCAGTTTGTGGAATGGTTTAGATGATGAAATTAAGCAAAGTAAAAATATTGCACAATTCAAGAGAAAATATAAGGAATATATAAATAATGTTTACAAAAATGAATGTGATAAAATGCTATGTTAATTCTAAATTGTTTGTTAATGTTTATTAAGTTCAGATCTATTGAAGATAGAGTAAATTGTAACTGGTTTAAAATTTTTTATGAATCCTAGGAACAGAAGCTATTGCTTTTTCCTGTTCGCTTTTCGAACACAACTTGTGTTTTACATTATATTTTGCTGGAAATTTTATGTTGAGATTAATGCTTTTTTTATTGTGCTTTTCTCCTGTATTTGTTACATGTATGCATGTTTTATTTTACTATTTTATTAGTTTTTTAACTGTTCGAAAAAAAATAATTTCTGAACATGGTGAATCAAAATGTCACAGGGGAAAAAAAGCTTAGAATATGAAACAATTTCACATCAAAAGTTTCATGAATCTTACCGTGTATAAGTGTAGAAACATGTCAAATATTAAGATTGAACACGTGACCAAAAACTCCATTTCCCACAAACCCATTCGTTTCCGCTCCTGCGCACAAACACAAGTGCTCCGTTTAGCGTCGGTGCCATGACAACAAGACGATGGCTCCGAGCGCGAGGCTGAGAAATTTCATGCTTGTGTGAACCAGGAGCAACAAAACGAGGAGCCACGTTTATGTGAAGGTGAGATTAATAAGAAACGACACGGAACCTCTTTTGCAGTCTTAAAAAAGTCGGAGTTCGTAGCCAGAATGCTCCTGACCTGTTAGCTAGCGCGCTGAAGCAACTTGGAGGCAGCTAATTAGCCGCGGCTAAGCTAAAGTTAAATGAGCCAGCTTTAGCCATGTAGTTTCCCTGTGCTGTCTTAATGACTTATAGCTAGTCCCGAATGTGTTACAGTTTTCACTGTTTGGACTTGGAGAAGGAGGGTGGTTCAGTTAAATCCTCAGGTGGTCGTTTAAATGCGTGCTGAAGTCCACTGCTTGTGGTTTAGTAAAATCCTATTTACTAATCATGGTGTCAAGTGTCAACACATTAGGCACCTATATGTCTTATGTTTCATCTGTCCCAGATGCAATAACGTGAACATTGCCACAATCTTTGTAGTAGCTAATATGTTTTGACGTTGGAGAAGCCTGGTTTTCTTGTTGCACATTTATTCTCATCCTTTGCATAGTGCTGTCAACTTTTGACCTTTATTCTAATCTTGTTGTTCTTGCCTAGTTACTTTATTTATCGTCAAGTTGGTGCTTGGAAAAAAATATTTTGTTATTGCTAAAAATAATACAACCATACATATTGTCTTCTAAGCTAATTTACTTTAACACCCACTCAGGCGTGCAGGCTAGTGTGCTGTAGATAGGAGGGATTCTCCTTGCCTGGATTAACTGCCTGTTCCACCTGCTCAGCACTTACGAAGTAGAAAAGCTGCTTGCCCCTAACCATTCCTTCATTCTCCTCAATCACATGCTTAGTACTGGGGTCACGTGACCAGCTGCCTTCTTTGTATTTGGCTGGAATCATCCACGTTTTGCAATAAAGCTCAGTAGTGGAGGAGAAATGTCCAGGAGTCAAACGTGTCATCAGGGACAGCGGTATAAAGTCCTGTTTTTGTACTTTATATATGCTGTTTATTTATTTTGATCACCTGCATGTTGCTAAATAACATTGCATTAATGTCTTTGGTTGTTGGAGAGTGGGTATTTCAAGAAAACAAACAAAAATGACATTTAATTCTGCAAGTACACATAAATGCATGCAGCTGACATACAGTACATGTTCTCTCCTTCAGCCTATTTTTGATCAACCTCTCTCCGTTTTTCTCCCTGTGCAGTTAGAGGCACCATGTCTCTGTTTAAGGCCCGTGACTGGTGGTCAGCAACTCTTGGTGAGGGTGAGGAATTTGACCAGGGGTGCTTATGTGTTGGAGATGTGGACAACAGTGGCACAGGACACGGTCAGTATGCAATGAAAAACTAGTCTTCACATAAATCATTTAAATGACAAGTCGTAATTTAGGTACACGCTTGGCTTTTATTTGCCTCTCTGGGTAACGTTTCATACCCGAACTTGCCAAAATATTGTTACAAATGCCAATAGTTTTGAGTTTTATATGTCTGACTTCATAGTTTAAAATAAAAAATCTAAAAATTTCACAAGGTTTTATTTGGCAAAACTTGTAAAAAAAGGGAAAACATGCCCAATCATAAAGTTAATGAGTTTTTCTCGTTTTGGTGTTCATCATTTACACTATTTGTTTGTTTAAACCTTTTACAGACAAGATTGTAGTGGGCAGCTACATGGGGATGCTCCGGATCTTCTCCCCACGTGCCAATAAATCAAGTGAAGGAGGCCCAGCGGATGCCCAGCTCCTGGAAGTCCAACTTCAAAATGCCATCATTCAAGTTGAAGTGGGCAAGTTTGTTTCGTAAGTATTTGCCACAAACCCGGGGACAAGTCTATGTAAAGGTCAGAAAGTGCGTCCTATTTTAAGTAGTTACTAAGATTAAGTCTTCACTACGACAGGTCTGGCTTTGAGTCAAGTCTGCAGCCATTCATTGCATCTCACCCTCATTCTATCTAATTCTATCAGGTGTTATTAAGCCTTAAAGGGATCCCCGATTAGTTGTAACATTAGACTTTTATTTGATAAACATATATTTTAACTGTAAAATAAAGACTGTAAAAATACTGTAGGATGTTTAGTTTTTGACAATTTAAAATATATATATTTTAACACGGACAGAGCCATTTTATTTACACACAAAGCATTCTGGGTAAATGATGACGTGGATAGGTCCTCGATGTGAGCGAGCTATATCCACCCTGAAGGTTAATCTTGGACAACATCTGATGATCGATTTTTTAAAATGAAACCAGAGAGCGTTGGCAGAGAGGAGAAGGTAGAAATGACCTCAGCCTGTAACTGAAAATATGGATGGAGGACAACAGAGCTGCTTCATGGAAGAAGAACCCCAGCTTAGCCTGTTAGCTTTAGCGTTAGCACCAATTGGATCTCTTCATACTGGAATGGGAATGATTTTATTTATTTATTTGCTCTAAACCCAGAGCAGAAAGACATCAACACTACATACTTATATATTTGTTCATTTATCACAAGTCGTATCGTCATTGCAATATTAAACACTGTTACACATCGCAGGTTTATCTAATATCGTTCAGCCCTAGTTTGTAGTAACAAAGGGCCTCATGCAAGAACCGTTCATTCAAACAGATTTGTTCAAATCTGTTCGTAACAGATTTGTACGAGTGATTTGGGAGAACTTGTGGCATTCACCAGTTTTCTCGTATTGTAAAATTTTCTTCAGATACGAACAAAATTCGCAAGTGGTCCACACCCCTGTGTGTGTGTGTGTGTATGTGTGTGTGTGGGCTGTTTCTGGTGACATTTGGGGGCAATTTTAGGATGCCTACCTTTGGGGACAACTGGTGCCTTTGGGGACAGAAGACGGGTCCCCATTTGGTTTAAATGCCATTGGAGGGTTGGGGGTTGGGTTTAGGACCAAGGTGTGAATTGAATTTAGGTTAGTTTTAGGGTCAGGTAGGTACCTGTGAGGTTAGCCTTAGGGTTTGTGGTCAGGGTTAGGCTGTAGATATGTAAGGAATTCAATAGAATGTCCCCAATTAGATAGCTGTGCAAACTTGTGTGTGTGTGTCTGGGGTGGGGGGTTGGAGAAGCAATGCGCAATTGCTCTTCTGAATAAATGAAAACTATGTAACACAGGTGTTTACAGTTAAATTACAAATATTTGACCAAAGGCAAACTGGAGCAGGACTAGAGAGAAGTATGATTTAGATTTTTATTTCTCTGACTGAATGTAAAGGTGCTTTATTTGTCATCAATGCATGTTTCCATGCAAGGATGACATTTGTGCTCTGCATTTGACCCATCACACTTGAGAAACACCCAGGTAGAGCAGCGGGCAGCTGTGTGAGCACCCAGGGAGCGGTTGGGGGCTGGGTTTCTTGCTCAAGGACACCACGACATGTGGGCATGGTGGGGAGTCGAACCTGTGACTTTCTGGTCTCAAATCAGCTGCTCTACCACTTCACCACAGCCACCTACAGGACACATGACATTGACAGCAGTCGTCATTTCAGTCCTCAGTTTTAGTAGCTCCTTCAATTCCACAGCTGACGCTGCAAAAAAATACATATTTTCTTGTCTGGATCTCTGAGAGCAGGACTTCAACCTCCAAACTTGTAAAGTTCTTCTTTTTACTTTGCAATGCCATTTATGAATGGGCATTTCCTGGTATGTGTGGCAGGAAATGTATAGCCTAATATGGTGTTTTTGGGGTGTTAATTATGCTAATCTCCTCTCCTCATGCACGAGCACCTGATACACATTCATCATGTTTACGCTGCTTATTTACACACTTTTCCTGAAGATAGAAGAGTTTGTTGAATCTGATCTGACATGTTCGTACGAACCCTTAGTACGAACAAAAGTAAGAGAAATTTAGGATAAGAATACAAACATGTTCTTGCATGAGGCCCATTGTTCCATGTTTACAATATTCACTATAACTTATTTGTCCATTAATCACAGAGGTAATGCAACTGGATTGTTGACATTTTTTACAGTCATCACGATGTCTTTAATCTAGTGATTGTGATGCAGGAGCCGTCTGGAGATCAAGGGAAAGTCTGTGGTTTATGTTGAAGGTTTCCTGCATCATAACACCAAAGCACAATCTAATTATACTGTATTTAAAGCAGCCTGTTTGGCACACATTGAGCTTAGATAACTTTGGGTCAACATTCTTCAGAAACTGAAGGACATTTTGGAAGTCATCCATAAAGCACGTTGTTGTTTCTTTTGGGTCCTTCCTTTTGGTTTCGTGCTGAAGTATATGTAAAAAAAAAAATAAATCTTGGATCAACATTACTGGAACGCCATCTACAACTCAACCTTAACTGGCATTTCAAACAAAATGGAACAGCTGTTTGAGTAATTATTTATTTTTTCCAAGCACAAGTTAAAATAAGTTTGGATCCCACCCTGAGGCTGGGAACATGGATTCAGCTACAGTGGCAGGAAGCATCTGCCTTTCTGGAATATCTGAGGAGAAAAGTTTTCCAGCTGCAGGCCTGCAGGTCTGTGCTTTGTTAGAGACCTCTTATCCAGCTTACATCTGGCTGGTTCTCTTCAAACTTCTGGGCAGATTTTCAAACATTTGTATCCATTCAAACCAACTAAAATAAATTGATTTAGGAAATTGTGGTTCTGGTAGTCACAATAGTGGTGCTTTTCATTATTTCATATATTATTAAATGTTTTCTTTTGTGATTTTTATTTATATTTTTTGTTCCTGACAGGTGTTCAGACCTCCTTCACTTGGCTGTTCTTCACCCCAGGAAGCTGTCAGTCTATTGTGTTTCAGGTAAACAAACTCGGGTTGACAGATTATTTATGTTTGCTTAATTTTCATCATATATGTTGAGAAAAATCATTCAAGTGTTTTAAATTAGGCTGTATTTCCCCACTCTCTGACTTGTGGATTCAGGCACTGCAGGAAATGTGGATCATGGAGATCAGTACCAGCTGAAGTTAGTTTATGAGCACAATCTGCAAAGAACGGCTTGCAACATGACATATGGCACGTTTGGAGGAGTCACAGGTAGGTTTTATGGTGCTATTGATGAGACGACATTAAGGTTCACTTTGGATTTTCATGACAGAAAAGTTCTGTTAAGGTTATTGGGTGTCTTTACTTTGGGAATAAAATTAAAGATTTTACTTTCAATACTAGAAAAAATAAAACAAGTTTAAATGTTAAAGGAGACCAATTATGGGTCCTAGAAATGTTTATGGTATGTACCCAAAATTGAGTAAAAAAAACCTTTAAAAAGTGAATTTTGCATAATAGGTCCCCTTTAAGCCATGGGAGAAAATATGAACATATTTATTGCTGGGTTTGCTTAGTCCCATACCTTCCAATATGCTTCAAATGAAACTTGATTTAAGGTTGATTTCAGAACTGGGTTTAGACTCGGACGTTGGGTTTGACATGTTGCAAGGATAAGTTACGGCCCTTGGAATGCGTTATGCCAGTGAGGATCCTTACAAATACGCATAAGTGCAAAAGGTGTGTACGCATGAGTGAACATCTGTGCACGTGTGTGTGTGTATGTTGGCGAATGCGGCGATGGCAGCGCCGACAAAAAACCCCCCATGAAACTATTAAGTTCTGTAAAGGGAGCAAAGGGGAGAGAGACGTCTCACGTTGCTGTTCTTTCTTTAGTCAACTGGACTCCTGGAAAAACCAAGTAGGGGAAAGCCCTCTAGGAGTCAGCGTCCAAGGAAAACACACACACACACACACACACACACACACACACACACACACACACA